ATAAATTTGTTAGTATGAAACAATTTTATAAGTAAGAATACAATATATATCATTTGTTTCTATATATGACGAATAATAACATAAAGATTTGTTACTTTATTTATCATTGGAAAACAAATGTGTTATGAAAATACATCATATAGATTAATGCATAATAATCATATATCCATATATCATATATTTATAATTTAATAGGAAAATAAATTAATTCGGATTTTTTTGCTCAATTGAACGATGCAATCTTTCTTTTAATATTATTTTTTTTGATATAAACTATTAAAAATTTATACATTGCAGAAAATATGAAGAATTGGCAATATTTCATTCAGAAAGCAAGTGGATTAGAACGATTTTGTTTAAAAAAAATGATAATCTCTATTTTATTGATTTAATTTTCATATATATGAAATGAGTTATAAAATGGGCTTAATTAATTTTTGTGAGATGGAATTAAATACGATAAAAGAAAATTATCGAATTTAATTTTGAATGAATAAATTTAAAATATATAGATTTTAGTATTAATAAGATTCTAGAATCTAATTACAGTTCATTGAATTTTCATTCAAAAATCACTGTTTCAAAATTGCATTGTAATAATTGGTAAAAATGCCAGATATTAGGATTTGTTTGATAATTAATAGGAGATTAAATTCATGTAAGCTGTCAGAATTAGAATTTTTGAGAAGTTGTGAGAAAAAAGGCTTTCAATCTCACAAAAATGTAATTTCTTATTTTATTTTTATTTGTAGATTATTATACATATAGAAATTTTTTGTATATTAATGATTCAAAAATAATTTATCAATCGTTTGATAAGAAAAAAAACAAATCGAAATTCAAAATGATTGTGCTTAATTGAAGACATCGAAAATAAAATGATTATCTAAATGTATTCAAAAGTTGCATTAAATATTGTCATGCCCGGAATTGTTCTTAGATTCATTGGATGATGCATTATTCTAAACTTGAAAATAATTCAATTTGTTCATTCATTGACTCAAACTCATTATATCAAAATTAAAAGCTGATGATTTATATGTTATGTTCAAGAATATGTTTATTTGTTCTAAAATAAAGTAAACTGTTATTTCAGAATAATTTGAAAGCAATATTTTCAGGAAAATGGTTTTCCTTCTCTTAACTCTCATCATGGGTTGGTTTCGAGAAAGTTTGTTACCTGATTTCACATCAGATGATACGAATATAGATATCAGATATTATATAGGATCATATAATGATTATGGATTTCTTTATCAGGAAAAATTATATTCCACAACATTCTGGAATCATGGTTGGTATGTTGTTTTCAGAGTCTATGAAAATGGAGAACCAGGACCATTAGTATATGTAAAAGGTTCAAATAAAGGAAAGGCCGAATACAATGGAATTAAATTTGAAACAAAAGGCGATATTGATTCTCAAACAGGTTACTTCATTTTAACATTCAATATTAGAAACACAGCACAAGAACCAAAGAGAATTGATGTTGGAGTTTTTGCTGATGTTCAAATTGCTGAAAATGATAAAGCTACGATTAAACCTTTAGCTAATAAGAGAGGTTTTACAATGAAAGATGACCTAACAAGGATATCTTTTACACTGTTAATTCGCGATGCTGCTAATGTCACGAATGTTGATTCATTCTACTATGGCCCGTTAGAATATGAATGGTATAACCGAGTAATATAGGGTGTCCAAAGGTGCGTTTAGCACAGCGCTCTATATGAGACTATTAAAGGAGATATATGCTGATTATAAATATATAATAAAAAATATGAATATATGTATATGATGAGTATGTTGTATTTTGGCGCCATGCCGGGATATAAATGAATTTTGAGACAAGAGGCGGTTTCGCGGGAAATTTTGGCGGGATTTTTTTCATTTTTTTAATGAATCATAAAGAAAACATCCTCGCTCTTGCAAAAAAATGCAAAGACTGTAAAAAAATCTACGAGACATTGGTAAAATGCTTCGGTATGGATGCTCCTAGCTATTCCACTGTAACGTATCATGTTAGGATGTATCACTTCATGAACAAAAAGGCGCCCATCATAAAAATTGACAAAAAATCGCCGGATCAAAGAAAAATCAAAGCAATTCTTCAAGCGCTAGATGAAGACCCAAGAGCATCACTCAGAAGGATAGAGGAGATGACAAAGATACCACGTACAACAGTCAGTTATTATCTGCACAATTATTTGAACTACAAACTAGCGTATACATCTCGTAAACGAAAAAGGGGATTTGACGGAGTCAAATCCCCGCTCACAAAAAGTGGACTTTACATGTCAAATTTTATATGCATGTAATGTCCACTTTTATGAGTTTTAGGAAGGAATTGGAAGCCATGAGTTACTGACATTGCATCAGTATCTCATAGCCTCCAATTCCTTCTAGAAAGTGTCCAAACTTTGGGTTAATTGCAAACTATTAACCCAAAGTTTGGACACTTTCAAGTGGAGATGGAAGGCTTTGGCATATATATTAATACAATATACCTCAAAGCCTTCCATCTCCACTACAAATGGGAGAAACTTTGTCCGAATAGTTTAACATTCGGACAAAGTTTCTCCCATCTTTCAATGTAATTGCTACCTGTGAGGTACTGACTTGAAGTCAGTGCTTCACAGGTAGCAATATCCAAAAATTTAAAAACATTTTATCAGTTCGTTAGAGAACTAGAGCCTCCTAGGTACTGAACCAGAATCAGTGCCTAGGGGACTCTAGTGATCTATATAAATCTGAGTTTCTCAGCAATTTAGCGAGGAATGTTCGTTATCGTGTAGATATTTATAATATATACATGATAACAAACATTCCCCGGTAAAAGATGTAAAATCTTATAAGAAATAATTGCAAAAGAATAACAAATTGCAACAAATTTTATATGAAACTGAACCTTATGAGGTAGTGATTCAAGATCACCGCCTCATAAGATTCAGTTTCAATCTCAAGTATCTCAAAAGTAAGGCTCTATTTTTTGCCATGTAAAGTGTCACTTTTTCTGTCAAACTGTTTTTATCGTTTTCGTTTACAACATACACGTTGGGTTCCGCACAACCTTAATTCAGTTCAAAAAAAATCTAGAGTCCAATCTTCGAAAGAGCTCCTCTCTATATTGGGTGCGTATCAATCCAAGAAGTTTCGCTTTTGTAACAGGGGACGAGTCTTGGTTTCAATATGCAACAGATGCCAAAATCATGTGGATCCCGAAGGATGAAAATCCGCAAACATTCCCGAAGAAAAAAATTGACACACCAATGATGATGTTGTCGGTTTTTTGGGGCGTGAATGATATCATCGCAATTGATATTCTTCAAAAACCTAATACGATGAATGCTCAGTATCTAATTGACAATGTTCTTACTCAAATTATCAATTCTGATGAGTTTGAGAAATCCAAACAACAAAAACAAAAGTTTGCAATTCATTTTGATAATTCAAGAGTTCACAAAAGTCATAAGGTAATGAATTACTTGGTGGAAAACAATGTCAAAGTTGTTCCAAACCCAATTTATTCACCTGATATTGCACCCTCTGACTTTTATTTATTCGGCACGCTAAAAAAGAGAGCTGAAGGACGCGAATTCGCGAGTCCAGATGATCTTGAAAATTTTGTAAGAGAGCAATTTGAGCAATTTTCTCATGATGATTTAAAGCGTGTCTTTCAAGCCTGGATCGATCGCTGCGAACGCGTGATTGAATCCAATGGTGATTATATTTAAATAAACTTTATATATATGTAACTTGTTTATTTCTATTTGCAGTATTCAGATTTGTGCTAAACACACCTTTGGACACCCTATAAAAGATGGTAAAATTTATTTAAGTTCTTACAACCCAGGGCTATTCCCATACTTTAAGAACACATCTTTAAATTCGGATTTTGGTAATGCAGACAGTTGCTTTGCTTTTTCGTGGCAGAAAAGAGATATATATCCGGGTGAAACAATATCACTGCAAACAGTTGCAGGTGTAGGAACTAATTTAAGAACAGCTCCCTATGTAAGATGGACTACAGAATTCAAAGATGTTTATTCTCAAGGAGAGGCATTAACAATTACATTCGAAGTTGGAGATTATGATGTTGGAGAGATAATTTATGTATATTTTCTAGAGGACACCAATAAAATTTATGCAAATTTTAGCACGACTCAAACTAAATTAAAAGAAACTGGCCAATATAATATCAGATTCGGTTCCGAAAGAACAAAACAGATTACCTTGTTTGTAATAGACAGTTATGGGTTTCAATCAGCTGTTCTAAAGAAGACATTAATTATCAAATCTAAACCAGTTCTTAAAATCACAAACTCATTGAATGCAAGATACAATTTTGGATCGATAATCAGAATTGAAGGCACTGTAAAAGATGAAGATGATGTTCAAATAAGATATAGGTTTGATGATTCTTTTACATCAATTGCACCTGGAAATATTTCATGCCATTCTTCAGAAACTGGTTATTCAAAAGACTTAATAATACCATCATGGTTGCAAAAGGGACAACATACAATTTATATATACGCAGTAGACAAGTATGGTGTCAAATCAGAAGAAATTCCACACAAATTTGAATTTTCTCTCCCACAGAAACCAGCAATTAAATTAGTTTCATTAAATGAAGATACTGTTTATCCCGGATCAGAATTAATTATTTCTGGGTATATTAAAGATGAATTAAATCAAGTGGAGTTATCAATTAATGCAACTATAATTGGAATATTAAATATAACAATAGCTAGTGCGTCATCTAATACTCAATGGCAAAAATTTAACGGAACAATACAATTACCGTGGAATATAGATCCAAACGAATATTCGTTATTTGTTGAAGCAAAAGATAATGATGGATACTTTTCAAATCAGTTTGAACTAAAAGTATACGTAAAACCTTATCCGCAAACGGTAGTACCAACTCCGTATTCGACATCCCAAGAAACACCTTATGAAACATCTGTTCAGACTCCATTTAATACTGCTTTCGAAACACCTTATTCAACAGCCGAAAAAACTCCATTTTTCACAGCCGCAAATACACCATTTTCTACACCATATTTTACTGCTGAGGAAACTCCATTCACAACATTTGAAGAAACTCCATATTTAACAGCATTCGATACGCCGTTTTCAACTGCTTTCGAAACACCATTTTCAGCTGCTTTCGAAACACCATTTTCATCTGCTGTCGAAACACCATATTTGACTGAAGTCGAAACTCCGTTTGAAACTGCCTTGTCAACTGCTGTCGAAACACCATATTTGACTGAAGTCGAAACTCCGTTTGAAACTGCCTTCTCAACTGCTTTCGAAACACCTTTCGGAACAAACATGATAACACCACATAAAACACCAGATTCACCTTTCGAAACATTTGTTGAAACACCATACATTACAAACAAAGAAACTCCATTCGAAACACCTTTCTTAACTGAATTCCTTACACCTTTCTTGACTGCCTTTGAAACACCATTTACTAGTCCATTTATAACAAATCAAGAAACATCATTCCTTACACAGAAAATAACATCTTTTGAAACACCATTTATTACACCGAAGAGCTCAGTACATAACCTAGAGCGAAAGATCAGTTCTAATTCATTAAACCAAACCACACCAATCTCAAATGAATCCGTTTTCAATACTGCTATAACAATGAAATTTAATGCAGACTCGGAAACTACAACCAAGAAGAAGAATATTGGAATGATCATTGCAATTGTTGCATCAATATTAGCAATCATTATTGCTTTGGTTGTTGGAATTGTTATGTATATTCGTCATATAAATCAAGAAGAATCAGAAGAGGAATCATCAATTGAGATGCAAGAAACAATTGTTTCATCTGTTGTCAACCCTAACGAAGGTGTTACTCTTGATAATCCATTGTTTTCAACAACCGTCATTAATCAAGACGAAGATATTTTTGCAGCTGATTTTGAAGAATCAAACCCAGCAGAATGTTTCTTTATTAATAATCTTGAGTAACTCTTTTTAATTTTATGCGAAATACGAAATATATTTTTCATTTGTTTTTATTTTTATTATGATAAAGATAGATTTTTGAAAGTATCCGGTCAGATTTAACCAATAAATTATTTAGCCTAATTGCATCTTAATTCAATATCGATTCAAAATACATCATTATTATCTTCCAGTGATTTTTAGTAAAATATCTTCATCAGAGAACAATTAATTGATGAAATATAGGCAATATTTTGAATTTAATCATAACATTAAAATGAAGTGTTAAACATTTAAATATGAAGCACTGTAATCATTATTTGCCATAGAAAATGGATATAATATAAGAAATTGCCTAAATTTTTTCATGAATTGATAAATTTGCTAAATTGAATACCAACTAATATAAAATATGCATATACCTATTCTTTACAAGATATATGCAATCCAAAAAATCAGGATAACGCTGAAAATTATCCAAATTTTTCTAAATATCATACTGCGTTCATTTCAGATATGTGAAAATAAAAATTTCCAGTTAAAAATACAGAAAAGTATTTAAAAACAAACAAAAATTAAACATATTCAAATTAATTTAAGAAAGTACATAAACTTCTTCATTAATCTTATCATTATCATTAGAAACTAGTAACGAATCACATGACAAGCGTGTTGCGCTACATCTTTTGTTTAATCTAGCTGAAGAGAACGTTTTTAAGATCAGTTCGGAAGCTGATTTGTTTCTGGAAATGTATTTTCCTTGTAATGAGCGTAAATACTTAATTACTTCATTCATTGTCCATCGATCAGCTGGTTTTAATACTAATGTTTTCATAATTATTGTTTTTGCGAAGACGGGAACGGAATTTGGAATCTGATATGTACATCCAAGAATACTTCTCTTGAGATTGACTGTATTTAGACCATAAAATGGGAGATTTGCTGTTGCCATATAATATAATGAAATTCCGAAGCTCCAAATATCACTTAAAAATGGATTATACTCGAAGCTACTGATCTTTTCTGGTGACATGAACGCAAGTGAACCCATAAATTCAGAAGTTAGATATTTTTGAACAGATGCAAAACCAAAGTCAGCAATTTTGAGTTTGTTGAACTCATCAAGAAGCAAATTTGCTGGCTTGATGTCATGGTTTGCAATACCCATAGAATGGCAATAAGAAAGGCCATATGCAAATTCTAGTGTAAATTTGTAAAGATCTTGTTCTTTTAGAGGTCCTTTTTGCTGTATCAGATCATAAAGAGATCCATGATTGCAATACTCAAGTATGATGAAATGGTAATTCTTTTCAACAAAGTTATTGTAAATTTTTATAACATTTGGATGAATGCATTCAACAAGGGCGTTAACTTCATTATAATAGGATTTTTTAACACTTAGAGCTTGTTCATAGTCCTTTGGAATCTCCAATACCTTGCAAATAAAATCTCGATTGTATTTCTCGTCAACTACGTGATAACAAGTGGAAAAAGCACCTTTTCCCCACTTCAAGAACAATCCAATAACCATAATTTGAGAGAATCGCTTGTACTGCTTGAGAATCCATATTGGGATGTATTGAAATGAGTAAAAAAACGACGCCCTCAAAAAATAAAAAAAATTGAATTATTTCTCAATTCATTGATTGTTGGTCAGCTGGATAAAATTAGGAAAAGAGCCGATTAATAAAAATATGCTTTAAAAAATTTATCTGATTCACTGTTTGACAAAATCTTTCTTTATTGAAAAATATAATCATTATCATGAGCAGTGTATTGTGTTATACTGTGAAAATTGAAAGGATAAATTCGATTCAAAGACAATAGAATTTGTATATTAATAAATCGCGTTGAACTGTTGTATTAAAAACTACTTTTTAAGAAATGTTAAACCACAATTAATACATTTATTCAATTTTGATATATACATTTAAAATAGTGGATTGAATTTTGAAATAAACCGATTGAAGAACTTGAACTTCCAAATCTGAATTAATATCGAATATATATTGTTTTAAAAATTAAATGATTTCAACATTTATAATTTTGTTTACTATCAAATCTTCAAAATGTAAATGTCTTATTTTGCACTATTTCATTGTTCACATCATACTTATTAAATGCGAAAATGAAACGATATATATCTAACATTATGAGAAAAATTTAATATGTTAGTAGTAGGATAAGGCGGGGTGTGTGACTTTTTTTGTAAACGTAAGAATTCATACAATATCGAGCGATTTTGTATCATTATTTTAACATATTAATTTTAAAATAATTTATTTTTTTATTCTTACATAAATGACCCAACAAGTAAAACCAGATAAAATAGATTATCGAATTTTAGAGGATGGTGTTCCTGTTTATATTCAAAGATTTAAAGGGAAGCAATATTATAGAATTGTTAATCCTGAATATCTTAAACATCAATTTAAAAAGGAAGACTGTGAATTATTAAACGCTAATGAATATGAAAATGCTAAATCAAAACTGAGATATAAATATATTGGAAGTGATGAAAGGTGTAAAGATAAAGATAAAGTTTATTCAGTTTCATATAATGAATGGAAAACCAATAAGATAAGAAAACATTTAGGAGATTATGGGAAATGTTCTGAATTCTTCAAATCTAGTATATACGAGAGAGTAAAAGAAATTAGAAATAATTATTTTCATGAATAAAAGATTCACTACCATAATGAAATACAATATCGAGCGATTTTGTATCATTTTTTTTAACATTAATTTTAAAAATTTATGAATAATTTATAAAAAGTTTTTATTCCTACAATTCCTATATTACCATTAATAAAAAGAATATATTTTTGCATAGATTCCAAATATGGTGTCAATTTTTTAAAAAATTTTGAATTCAATGAGTTATATCAAAAATAAAATTCTTGAATAGAGTAAAAAAATTTAAATAATTTATTTAAATATTTTCTTCTGACATTTATGAATAATTTATTTTTTTATTTCGTAAGAAATGAGTGGATCAAGATTCGTAACCGTCAATCAATTAATGGATGCTCTTTCACCAATTCTTGAAAATGTTAAACAAGTAGATGTTTATTTCGATGATTATGTAGAAAGTTTATATTATAAAGGTAAACATAATATTAAACCCATTGCTTTTGCATTTGATAATAAATTAATTGAAAATGCAAAAATTTGGGAATTAATTCCAGATATTGAATTTATAACAAATATTAAGGATAAATGGTTCAAACGAATTCCAACCACAAAAGTTCTTTGTAAATTAATGATCAAAACTGAGGAAAAAGAATTTCATGAATTTACATATCAACCAAATAAAATTTTAGAACTTGGTAACGAAAAACTTCAGAAAAAATTAAACGATAGACTTTCAAATGATCGTATTGAAAAAATAAATAAACTAGCAGAAGTTGCATTTAATAATGAAATATTTGATGAATATAACCTTGAACTCAGTGATGGGCTTTAAGTCCTGGGCACTTTGTGCCTTGGACTTTAAGGACCCGGGCTCAACGAGTCATGATTTATGAAATCAATTATTTGATTCATTCTTTCTTCAATAATTTCTATTCTTTTTGTTAAATCATCAATTTTCATTAATGAGGTGATTCTTGATTGAGGAATAGATTTTAAACTAACAACACCTTTTATTTTTGAAATTTTGAATCCATCAACTTTAAACATTTTATTCAATTTACATGTTGTCAATTCTTCAAATAATTTTTTATTATTAGCATAATAGTCATTAAATTCTTCAACAGATGAAAAAATTTTTGTTTCAGTAATGGGTTTAACAATGTTTATTTTATTTTGAACATCTTCACTTTCATTTATTTCTTCCTCCTCTGTTTCATTTATTTTTAAAATCGTAATAAATGATTAAACAACAGCAACCACAGACCATTACATACGCCACATATGCATATAATTCAAAGACGGCAGAACAAACGCAAAGGTTGAAATATGGAGATTTGGAGATAGTATTGAAAAATGACCATTTCGAATTCGTTTGCAAAGGTGGTGCAGTGATATCAAATATAAAAGAAATTTTATTTATGAATTCAAAAATTAAAGGAATAACGGATGATATAACATCAATTCCACCAGAAGAACAAAGATATTACGCATTAAATGCATTTCCTAAAGTTTTGAAGATTGGAAGATTTAATTTGAATGAGGAATTCATAAAAGGTTTCCTAAATGACATAATGAAGAAGGCAGATAAGGAATATGTGGATAGTGTGTTAGTGAAGAAGGCGGATAAGGAATATGTGGATGAAAAAGATAATGAAATATATGAAAAAATTAAAGAAAGGGTTGAATGGTATCATGAACGGACATCAAAGATTTTAAAAACTAAAGCTGATACAGGATGGGTTTCAGGATGTTTAGACCTTAAAGCGGATAAAACTTATGTTAACGATGAGTTAAATAAGAAGGCAGATAAGGAATACGTTGATACTGAGTTAGCAAAGAAAGCTGATATATCATTTGTTAATGAAGAAATAAAACAATCGGAGGTCTATTTTACCCCACCATTTTTAAATTTTATGAAATCATCAGATAAAACATTTGAAGATATTGAATGGTTATGTTTCGATGGAGTGACCATGTATTTATTTTATACAGGCGGAGTGCTTTATTATTTTAAAACAAATGATTTTAAAAACTATGAATCATTTACTCCATCCGTTTTGAATCCTGATACACGAGAGCCAATCATTAATCCAAGAATTTTTTATGTTGAATATAATAACGGCAAATTTATGGGAATGATAACGGTTGGAGATGATTTTTGCCCTTGTTATTCATTCGATTGTATCCAATGGTTCAAATGTAATTTAAATCAAGATGTTAAATTTAAATATCCAAATAATCCTATTAGATGTGTTAATAATAAATGGGTACTAATTTATGAAGTCAATCAAATTTTCATTAGTGAGGATGGGATAAATTATTATATGTTTAGTATGATGTCATCAGATTTGAAAATTGATTATACAAGTAAATGGTATTACATTAACAACATGTGTTTTATCCTACAAAATGATAAAATTTATAGATCATATTCAATACCATTTGGTCGTTTTGAACAAATTTTTCAAGCTGATGGAGACATTGAAGCTTTATGTTATGCTTCAAATGTTTGTGTTCTTGTTTCAGGTAGTATGTTGTATTCATATCCTGTAAGTTATAACAGACATATTTATTTATCACAAGATTTTTCACAGGATCCAGAGAAAACACCAAATTGGGAATTGGTTTATTCATTCACTCCAAAATTTACTCGAAATTATAGATTTACAAATTTGTTTTATATTGATGGGTATTTCATTGCTTTTGGATGTGGTGATTTAGTAAATATCAGTAGTGATGGAAAAAATTGGTCTGAAATCACAAAATTTCAAGATGTTAAAAAAGCAATTTTCAAAAATAATATGTTAATATTGATGACAATACCAATTTTAACTTCTTACACGATTTCAATATTATATAATAAATTCAATATTCATAATGGATTAAATAAGAAAGCCGATAAGGAATGGGTTAATACTGAGTTAAAGAAGAAAGCAGATAAGGAATGGGTTAATACTGAGTTAAAGAAGAAAGCAGATAAGGAATGGGTTAATACTAAATTAGAGAAGAAAGCAGATAAGGAATGGGTTAATACTGAGTTAAATACAATGTTTGAGATGATTTACCCCATTGGTTCAATATATACATCAATGAATTCAACAAATCCATCAACATTATTTGGATTTGGTACATGGCAGCAGATAACCGATCGTTTTTTATATTGTACAAACTCATCAAAACAAACCGGTGGAAGTAAAACAATTACGGGCGAAAATTTACCTGCTCACAGTCATTACGTTAATTTAAACACAACCGAAGCAGGATGGCATAAGCATAGATATTGGGATTGGTCAGGAATGACAAAAGGTAAAGGATATGATGTTAAAGATGACGTTAAATTTGCTATTAATTGTTACTGGAACGATACACAGGGTTCAGGTAATCATACACATAATGTTTCAGGATATACACAAACGACGGGACAGAGTAAAGATTACATGCCGCCTTATATGACAGTTTATGCATGGTTTCGCACGGATTGAAAGTCCTGAGCTCCAATTCAGCATACCTCAGTAATGAAATTACAGAATTTTTGAATAAATGAGGGGGTCACCATGTGCTACCAGGTAAACTAACTTCTTTTAAAAAATGAGACAACATGACATTTAGACAACACACAGGAGGAAGGCATATGAATTATTTTTGAAGAACTGTAGGTGCACCAGTCACCATGTGCACCAGGTATAACTTCTTTTAAAAAATGAGACAACATGACATTTAGACAACAACACAGGAGGAAGGCATTATGAATTATTTTTGAAGAACTGTAGGTGCTACCAGTTGTCATGTTGACGACATGACATTGTGTCAACAACACGAGAGGAAGGCAGTTATGAATTATTTTTGAAGAACTGTAGGTGCTACCATGTTACCATGTGCTACCAGGTAAACTAACTT